CACACACACACACACACACACACACACATTATAAGAATTCTAAAGTGAGACACACACACACACACACTATTTATTGCACACATTTACCTCATAAACCTTTCTTATGTCTCAAAAGTCACACACACACACACACACACACACACACACATTATAAGAATTCTAAAGTGAGACACACACACACACACACACACACACACACACACACACACACACACTATTTATTGCACACATTTACCTCATAAACCGTTCTTATGTCTCAAAAGTCAAGAAACAGCTTATTTAAATCAATAAACAGATAAAAACATTAAACTAAACGAACATTATGATGCTTAACAGGCAATAAATGCACATCAAAGAAGTAGAAATGGACGTGATTCATTCATATGATGTTGAATGCACTTATTACAGTTTTTAAAAGTGCCTACACACAGTTTTTTAAACTATGGCTCCATTTCTCAAAACTCTACACACAAAACCACAAAACACACACAATACGCAAAACATCACACATATCTTGCAAAAGCAAACTTCTTCATTCAAAACTATTTGAACTCTTCTACATGCCAAACTACACACAGATGTGAAAAATGTATAACACTACTCTCGTGTGTCTTTTGCTTGTTCAGAGTGCAGTGGAATGCACAGGAGTTTGTCATAGCACATGCATATGCACAAATACACCAGTATGCATGTACAACTGATACATTTTACACAGTTATGCAACTGACTGAATCAATACTGAACTGACTGTATAATGACACTATTGACTTGTTAGAGCTTCTTTACAGCAGAATTTGAATTCGATACTATTGTGAAGCTGCTGTGAAACAATCTATATTGTATAAAGCGCTTTAGAAATAAAGTTCACTTTCTGACTCGGCTTGTATGCATATTCAGTGTATATATGTATGTGTGTGTATGTATGTACTGTACATATACACACACATAGTATATAATCATATACACACACACACACACACACATATATCTATCTATCTATCTATATATATATATACACACACACACACACACACATATATCTATCTATCTATCTATATATATATATACACACACACACACACACACATATATCTATCTATCTATCTATATATATATATACACACACACACACACACACATATATCTATCTATCTATCTATATATATATATACACACACACACACACACACAATATAAACAGAAATGTAGGGTGTAAAAATAATTTCTTTCTCAAAACACTGGGTTTTGTGAACAAATTATATGTGTTTTCACACATGATCACTGGGTGTAGGTCATCAGTAAATGAGTGTGGCATTTAAATGGCATTGTTTCCCAAATAAACCAAAAGAGCTGTTAGTTGAATGATGTGTGTACTGTTTAGAGTTTTGCAAAAAGTTTGTTTTACAGTAGCAACATGAGTTTAAAGCAAGTAATGTGCTTGTGGGTTTGCAGACTTGGTCTAAAGATTAGGTATATGAGTGAATGTTTTCACTGAGTGGGCTTCAGGTACCACTTTTAGTGTCTAAGCATCTAATAAATAGCGTAGTTACTTTGTTAAAAACGTGAAAGCGTTACCAATTTGTAATTTTAATACAATCTACAGACTTTGCTCTATAACCGCTAAATGTGCGGTACATGCAGTGTGTGTGTGTGTGTGTGTGACTGAGCACACATTTGTTCAGTGTGGGCTGTGCAGCTTTAAAGTGCTCGCTCCATGATGCCTTGCGGTGTCCCGCTAGCGCTCACTCTATTTACTCGCTTGAGAGCAGAGCTGCTGCTGCTGCTGATGTAACGGGCCACACTCAACTTCAGCGCGCGGACCCTCCTAACCGGACTACATTTACGGACATCAAATGAAGGCAGTCTTTACGAAACACTGAAAGGAAAACCACATCATCTGCTTAAATCTCGGTTCTGCTCTGGCGGAGCTTAGTGGACCCGGACTGAGGATTGTAGCGGTCCGGGACTGCAGACACACGCAGGTACGGAAATGATTTCAAATAAACGTCTCCGCACCGTGTTTTAGACCGTCGGGAAAGCTCGAGAGAAGGGTGACATGTATTTTATGTGTTTTCATGGGGCATCTTTAAATACTAGTTGTGACGGGATGCGTTTCACGAACGCGCTGGAGAACAGACGCATGACATGAGCCCGAGTGTGCTGTCAATGTCAGGGCTTTATCACCAGCCCAGATCTACTGATATGCGTTTCAACGGGTTGAATGACAGTGTGATGGTCAATGTGTTTTCAATCAGATCAGTAGCAGGCCCGCAGCCCCTCCTAAACTTACAAACACACAGCACTGCATCCCATAAACACTAACTACGACTGAAGGTTTTATAGTAAATTTCATCAATGAGTCAATATTAGACATAATAAGGGACTGGGGCTAGTTGTCACAGTGGTTGTATCTGAGTATTCATAAGGTTTGGAATCAAAATGTGTTAAGCTATTTAATGGTATGGTCCATTGTCACTTACCCCAAATTGTGTGACAACATGCCCCTCTGTTGTGTATTTGTGTAAACCTTAAGTTATGTGCCAATACAGAAATTGCTTTCAAAAGCATTCACTGGAGCAAAAGTGCGACAACTAGCCCCGGTCTTACTGTTAATATTCTTAAGATCAGTAGTGCACATTTAAGTATGAATGTGTGAAATATTTGAATCAGTTTCCTGACAACGCAATTATTGAAATGCATACTAATATGTTCAGTGGACAGTTCCCCCAAAAATGACAATTCTGTCACTTTATTTTTTTAAATTAATTTTTTGTGACTGTGTGACCTCCGATTCACTAGCTGCTATATGTAAATAACTAAAAGAATAACAAAGTGCAGTAAATAGATTTATGATTATGATAATAAAATAATAAATATATACATTTGCAACATCAAGCAGCATAACAGACTCTTTTTGTACACCTAAAACAAGTAGAAGTGGCTGACAAAGTGTTTAAAATGCCACACCCGTTCTTATGTTAAAAATAAGGTGGATAGTAAATGACATATAATGCATTAGGCATTATGTAATGTTGCTAAATGATGTATTATTTTAAAGTTATGAACGTGATCATCAAACAGTCTTAAACAACTGAACACAACACAAACAACTCGGGCTCCAACACCTTCAAAGTTTACACATACTGTCATACAAACTGCAAAGTTATATGCATTCTTATTAATAGATAGGACTGTTTTTGTTAAGCTGGCTTGATTACAAACCGACTATCAGAACTTACACAAGAATAAAGCAGTAGAGCCCAAACGGCTGTATATGCCTTTGTTATTAAGGTAATGTGCTTTACAGCAGGTTTTAATTTATGTTTATCTGCATCAGATTTAAATGTTCTACATGTCCACTCTCTCAATTTTACTGTCAATTATGATAAATTCACCCCTCTTTTATAGAGCTGCTTGCTTACTGACACACTGTGACGTGTGTAAAAACCAAAGGGTGCCTTCATACTAAAACTGTTGTTTGTTAGGGATACAGGTCCTAGACCACATTCCATAATAAGATGTTATTATCACATATGATGATCTAGAACAAATTCAAGAGTGCTTCAGAGATAACCAAGTGAATATTTAATGAATACATTGCTTATTTATTGGACAAAATTGAACTATGTTGAAATTTTTAGTACATTAGTTCATTTTCAACATACTTCTTTCAACCACTCCTTCAGACATAGCAGGCAGGGCAAGGCCAATCAAAAATAGACCAGACGGAGTCATTTTAGTAGCCAGGATATTGTGCAAACACAGGATTTGTATGTGCATTTTTTTTAGCTGTCGGACACCACCTTCCTCTGCCTCACTCATAGATCTGTTTACACATGCCTCATTCACAGAACTGACTCGCTCGCAACCAATTACACATACCTCAGCCGCTCATTACACACTCTTTTATATGACAACAGCTGGCTCATCAAACACCCACTGATCAAATCGGCTGATCGTGAATAACGTGAACCTACCAGAGGAAGAGAGAAGAAAGTGATTGAGAGCTGAGGAGAGCAGGAAAGCCGATTGAAGACTGAGTAGACAACGGTACAGAGGTAGTGAGATGGAACTGTGATGAGAGATGGAAATGTAATATCATGAATAAATGCATGACAATGCAGATCAGGATCTGATGTAGGCTGCAGAAAGCTTTTGATGGATTACCGGTAGGCAGACGAGATCTGCACCCAGAGATTTCCAGTTCTACTCATTGATAGTTTATAAAATGCCGAAAATGTTTGGTCTGTGCGTACAGTATGTGTGTAACCACGGGACTGTGTGAATGACGTTTAGGGCATCCCTGCATTTCTAATAAAAGTGCATGTCATAGTTCACAGACAGTTCACTTCCCTCTTTTGAACCTACACTGTCCACCTCAAGGATATGAAGGGATTTGTCTGCTGTGCAATAAGAATACAGTTGCAGAAAAAGAGAGAAAATCGCCTTTTTACATGTATGTTAGGATATGTGCGCAATGTGCGATACATTTCATAAACAGCATAGTATACATACTGTGCGCATACAGTGCAATTTTTTTTCTAACTGCACATACTCTATACGTTCAGCTTATTTTGCATTAATTAGTTTGTCTGCAAAGTGGCAACACTGGCCAGGCTGTTGTTCCTCAGTCGAAAAAGAAACAGATAAGATAGAACCACAACAAATTATTTGAGACAGAACAACTAAATAATTGGTGCTTTAAGTGTCACCTCAAATTGTGTTGCAGAAAGGTGTGCATTCATTTATCTGAGCGTTCAGATTGGTAGAAGATACCAATCTGAACACTCAGATTGAGCCAGAACACCCTAGTAACCACATAGAAACACAATTCCAAATCTGAAACCACTCCGAACACCTTATACTAGTGTCATTGTGGTGGTGAGTTTTTTTTTTCTACGGGCAAGTATTAAAAAATTAAAAAATCTAGTTTTAACATATTGTTTAAATGCCTATGCAATGGCAAAGTTTACAAGCAATGACTGTCAAACTATCTAAAGAAAACATCTCACAAAGGGTTGTTTAAACATAGTTCTCACATTATTTAACAATGAATGCCGAAGGAGAAATGTTTACTATACATTGTAAAGAGAAACAAGATTAAGCTCTTTCTTGCTCAAAAGCAGAATTATTATTTTGTTCAAATAACCTAAATTAAACTTTATGTTGAACTGCATGGTATGCATACATCCAGCATCCCTTCCCCCACATTGTTGTGTGTGATAAAGCCACTTACTGTGACATTCACCTCAGACTAAAGTTACATTGAGTTAATGAATGGGGTTTCTCATCCTCAAATGAGGCTGTACTGACAAACAATTTTATTTTAAATGGCTTTAATTCAGTGTCAGTTTGTGACTCATTGGTGCGTTGATCAGCTGGGAACCCCTGACAGGACAAAGTTATATAGTGGGACATGGACAAAAGTTAAAATAAAGAGATTGTTGTTCCTTAATTGCTGGTGTTTGTTAGTTCCCAGGCCGGTCACAGCCGGCCATGTGAGAGATTCACAAAGCTGCGAAAGCATCACTATGGAGATGGATTGTTTGTGTCCAGTCATGCTGTGAGGCCTGCAGGGGTGGGCGTCTCTCCAGCAGACCTTTGTGTTTGTCTGGACCATTGTTAGAACAGCCCCCCACTACAGTCCACACACACCGTTAGGGTCCTGAGGAGTTTTTCGAGTGCTGTAGATAAAACTCCAAGAATTACAGCGACTGAAATGCTAGACAGTGGAACAAGCTTTCATCTCAAAATGTGTCTCTGAAACAGCAGACCTGTTGAAAGATCTGGAATATGTTGTACTGACCATAGTCATGGTAGACACCAAGTTTAATTTGACACAAGTTTTGCTGAATAAACAATTGACACTAAATTATACAACAGACCAACATATTGAAAGGACTGTACTGCCAACCCTCACCTCTTAGTTTCAATTCGTGCCAACAAATATGACAGCTACCCCGAGTAGTTTGATAAACTTTTGACTGTTATATTCAACAGCCCTGAGTTAGTATAGCAGAATGGATGGACAACATTGACATGACAGAGCATGTGAGAGCACTATAGCATGCAGGGAACGTTACACCCAATGGGGTTACAGTTGCATCCAGCCATATGTGCTGTACTGATCTGTGTTTACAGACATCAGACATGTGAGTCGACTGGAATGTGAGTTTAGACGTGTTACATCTCCTTAGCAGCTGTCTTGGCTGTACCTTACACCAACAGGCCGCCAAAACCTTGAGTTTGTTAAATTTAGCCCCAGGTCATGGAGCCAAAGCTCGTCAGGAGCAGATGCCTGTATCATGTATATAAAGTTAAACACAGATTCTGCAGCTGACACATAATACTGTTGGGGGTAGGGCTTTGATGCAGTGTTTAAAACATACAAGAAAACAATACCACCTAACTGTATGCCGCTTTGCTGGACGGGTAGGACTGAACTGAATTATCAAGCTCGTGAGAGATTTCTAAAGCAGAAGTGAATGATTACACTTCCTGGCCTGATGTCTCTGCCCAAGAGAGACCGATTAGAACATGATGTCAAGAGTATCAAAACACACACCAGGACAGAATTAAAACAAGATATTTAGAAAATGTGAGTGATGCTTGCACATGCAAAAGTTAGGATGTTGTGAGTGGTTGCTAAGCAGTTCTAAGCTGTTTTAAGTGCATTTCAAGGTGGTTACTATAGGGTGTTCCTTGTGGTTGCTATAGATGTCAAAAGAACCCAACCCTCTGTCTCTGTTATTCTTGCTTGGATACCTCCTTCAATTTGGGATTTTTTTGATATCATCCACCAGGTAATCCAATCATTTAAGGTTGACGTGAAATGGACATTTACCCTATTTTGTAAGTGCATCTTATTCATCTGTTACGTCCTTTCTAGTCTAGAGTATTTGTGGGAGGCATAACAACGAAAAGTAAATTAAAATGGATTAAAGTAATGATTCACCTTGGCTGGGACTTCTCCAATGATTTAGTTCACTTAAACCTGTTTCTTGCATTCAGATCTGCCTCCATTCAATCAGCAACTGATGGACAGAACCCCCTGCCTTACATTTCTAAAAACAAAATTCTTTTTCGATTTGTTTCACTCGGATGTACATCACAATACAGAATAAGAGATGCCACTATTGTCTTTACATCGCAACTTTAATACGTTATAGTGCACCCTTTCTCAACAGGTTTCACATTATGAGGTATTTTAATATCCATAGCACACATTTAGGGATGATATCTGTGCCATTTGAGGGAATAATTAGGGTTAGGGGTTTGCTGAAACTGTATTTGCATAGTGTTGACATACTGATTGCACTATGCTGATATCCAGTTATCATGGATATCAGCTGGGTGTTAGATGGCATATCAAGATATTTCCCACTGCCCATCAGAGACCACTTCAGATTTCAGCAGCCCAAACACTCCTGGAGACAGACAGAATGAGAGACAAACAGAGGACTGTCTCTCTTCACAACACACACTTATTAGACTTATTACCTGTCAAGGGTGTACAGCTCATCTCACTTATCCTTTATGAGTGCGTCTCATGGGAGTGGGTGCCATCCATACTGTTCACACAGGCCTGTTTGGACCAGTTCATCTGCTTGAGCGGTTCATACCTAAATAAATCACTCTCATCACTCAGTACACTGCCACAGAGGAGGACAGGCATCAGTCTATACCAAAGTTTTCCTTACCAATGATATGAAGTAAATAAAACGTGCACAACAAAAACATTTGTTGCAACAATAATATTTACCTGACAACACATCTGGAATTGGGAGTTTTAAACATATTCTGTGTGGTATTTGTGTTAACATACTTTGTTTAAGTGATCTTTTAATGCAGGAGTCTTATACTCAAAATACTTAGTTAAGAGTGTTCTGCATTGAGGGCAGTTGAACAGTTTTTTTTTCAACTATCCATTTTGACTATACATAGTATTGATACATATAATAATTGATCCAAAAGAATGATTTCACTCTTATCAGACTCTAAAATCTATCTATCTATTGTTATATATATATATATCAAGTCAGGCGGGCAAAATAAAGTGGTTGGGGTAGCTTCGCGGTGTATCATAAAAACAGGATGTCCATCAACTAGTCACACACTGCAACTGGCTCATCCAGTGTAGATATTTCCCGCATAACAATCCTTAAGAGAACAACAGGATAACAAAAAAGGCCAAACCACAGTGCAGTACGTGAAAATTGATTTGTGAGCCGGATTTGAGGATAATATCAAATCAGGGCTTGTGTGAGCAAGCTTGGAGTAAAACTTTAGAACTGCAGCACACGTTAGAAACCCTCCCTACACAAGGAGCTAAAGATGCCGTCTGCCGGACCGACACTATGGATGGAGTATCATAAAGAACCAAGTGCTAGTAAGGTCACTGTTATTGAAGAAGGCTCTGAATACAGAGAGGTATTTATACTTGTGTACTGCATCATTACTGTGTCTGTTCCCCTTTCGGGCTTGAACTGATGGTAAAACTAATGACATTATTTACTGTCTTTACATTTATTTTGAAAGATGAAGCTCGCGATTATGGTAAGAGGCGTTACATTTCCGACGAGTGCTTGCGGTGTTCGGCCAATCACAATGCACTGGGTCAGCTGGCCAATCAGAGCAGACTGCACTTGTCGGAAGGAGGGACTTTGTAGAAAACGAAGCGTTTGAGAGAGGCGGGGCATAGAGGACCAACAATAATGTACAGTATTTGAAAAATAATGTGTTTTTTTAACATTAAAGCATGTCAGCATATTCTGTTACACCAAATTCACAAAATAATGATCTTTAAAAAAGCATCATATGACCCCTTTAAATAATTTCTTATGTAAGTGGAATTAGCACAAACAGTTCTTTGGTCTTTCAAGCAGTGATAAGAGCAGCATGCAGACCAGAGAGCAAGTAACGGGTGCCTGCAGAGGTGAGGAATGACATCATCCAGATGAGAGGCATGGAGCTGAAGGTATGGGTGGATGGAGTGCAGCGCATCGTCTGCGGGGTCACAGAAGTCACCACATGTCAAGAGGTTGTCATCGCTTTGGCACAAGCAATAGGTGAGACACTAAATTTAATGTAGAACATCTGTATAGGCATATTTAGACCCAAATAGGGTTTTGGCCACTTTTACATACTCAAAACACAATCTGATTGGTGAATAACTTGTACCACAATTTTTAACAGAACTTCTTTCCTTTTTTTTTTTTTGCATGTTCCCTTCCAAGCTCCTTCCTCCTTTCTTCAGTTTTTTTACACAACATAACTCTCACTATGGTTGTCTCCTTGACAACAAACCCTCTTTGAGATCAGAGATTGGAGCAGTGAAATGCAGTATTGTCCCTTCTAGTCTCTGAGTTCGACCCCATCACCCCATACTAGAAAAAATTAGACTGTGTCTTATTTCATTATTTCATGAATAAGTGCAGTCTCTGTGCCACTGAGGCGCCTGATCTCTGGTGAATGTTGGATGAATTTCCTTTGGAAAGTTAAATCTTATAAGCTTGTATGTCTGCTTGCTTCTCTGTTTAGCCATACAGTTTTATTAAAGTTGAAGTGTGTAGTGTAGTATGTTCAAATATTTTAGTCTAACCATATGTAAGTCATTCATAGGTTAATTTTCCAAGAGCATAAAGGATATGGATTTGCTAACGAACAATGGTGTGTTTGTTTGAATATCCCGACAAAGTAACAGAGGCTCAACCAGTGGCCTGATTTTGGAGGGGGACTACCTGTTTGGCTGACTAATGACAGATTGGGGGAATGTTTGGGAAACTTGTTCAAATACAATCATTATTTTTGCAATTCAGATTTTTGACACTTAAGCAGAAATTACACTTTAACTGAAACTAGAAGCTACAACTGGCAGTACAGAGCAAATTACACATATTTTATTCAATGTCTATAAAGTGTTGATAATGTAAAAGTATTGTATTGCAGGGCGGACTGGTCGCTACACACTGATTGAAAAATGGCGCGAGACAGAGAGGCACCTGGCGCCCCATGAGAATCCTGTAGTTTCTCTGAATAAGTGGGGTCAGTACGCTAGTGATGTGCAGTTGGTGCTTCAACGTACAGGCCCATCTCTGAGTGAGCGCCCCACCTCGGACACCTCTGCAAGAGCCCCTGAGCGCAGCTTATACCGCCAAAGTCTCCCTCCCATGGCAAAGCTCCGCCCCACAGCCAACGACCGTTCTCTCAAACGTCGTGAACCAAAACGCAAGTCCCTCACCTTCACCGGTGGTGCCAAGGGGTTACGTGACATCTTCGGGAAGAATCGTGAGGGTGATACCAAGCAGAGAACGGTAAACACAAACCGCAGCAGCACTCCGGCCCCTACACAGGAGCTGTCCCGCCTGGTGCAGTTGCAGAAGGACAAGTTGTGCATCCTAGAGCAGAAACTGCAATGCTGCGAGACTGAGTTGCAGCAGCAATTGACAGAGGAAGAAGAAGAGGAGCTGGTCAAACTAGAGCAGCAGGTCCGTAGGAATGAGGCGGAGATGAAGGAGCATGAATTCTGGGAGAATGAGCTGAAGATTGAGCAGGACAATGAGAGGCAACTTTGTGAGCAGCTGCAGGAACTGCGCAGTCGTGTACAGGAGTGCGAGGAGCAACTGGGAGAGTACCTGGCACGTATTCAGTGCATGGAAGCAGGGCTGGAGGCAGAGTGCCTGCAACAAGAGCTGATGGAGACACAGCTAGCGGATGAAATGGAGGTCCGGTCGCGACTGGATAAGGCCTGTGCCGAGCTGGACATGCAAGTGCAGCAGGCTGCAAGACTGGAGAGCAGTTGCAGAGCTGTGGAGCTCTCACTTGGCCAGTCAAACATTAGACTACAGGTGAGATCGCCTGAAGGAAGATCACAATTCACTTAAACTAACAGTTGAAAGTGATAAGAATTGACTTGCTTTCACAAATAGATATTTTGTTGTGGACCAAATCTATTTGACATCAAGTCTGGTTGATTTTTTTAGTGTGAAGTTGTTTTCCAAAATCAGGTGCACAACAGTAAACCAAGTATTCAAGTTTGTAGTTTGTATGAAAGCAATTTGTCCAAAATAGTAGAAGTGAATTACTACTGATGACTTGGGGAGCATGCAGAGGTGGAATAGTGTAAGCATTTCCAAAATATTTATATCTCATAGCTCAGGGCTGTTCAGTCCTGATACTGGAGGACCACTATCTTGCAAAGTTTAGCTCAAATCCTAATAAAACACACCTGAACCAGGTCTTCAGGATCACTAAAAACTTCCAGGCAAGTGTGTTGGTGCAGGTTGGAGCTAAACTCTGCAGGAAATTGGCCCTCCAGGAGCAGGATTGGACAATCCTGTCATAGCTGTTCCATCAGAGAGCAGTATACAGTCTTTGCATCTCTTGCAGTGCATCAATGGAGGATATACTCAAGTGCTATTCTGTGCATATAAAGTTTTGGTAGTAAATCCAATGTTCTCTAACCAAGTGTGACATCAACCTATGAAGCAAAGTACTAATGAATAGCCAGTACTTTGTTCCATACAGTACAAGCATGGCTCTGCTGAAATCGTGTGAACTGCAGCTGTTTGTTTTGGACTCTTTGGCCTTAAGTTCCAACAATGCTACTAATCGGCTTTGCAGCATGTTAAGGGAGCTGGGTGGGGGTGGAGGGTAATGGTCACGGATATTATGTAAAAGATCTTTGCCAGAGCTTACAGATGAAGTGAAGGAGCAGGATGTCCCAGTATAGTTTGTATTCACCAGGAATGTTACATAACACAGATACACTTGTATTTAGAGCACTAAATTCTCTATGGACTGTCGAAGTAACAAATGATAGTAAGGCAGGTTTTGGAGCACACTCTTTTGGCCCCTCTTTCTTTAAAAAAATGTGAACAGTACGAAAAGGGAAATTTGTCTGTTTTGGTGGTTAGATTTTTTTAAACCTTTGATTGTTTCATTTAGAAGAGAGAGCAGGAACTGGAACAGTTAACTAAGGAGCTGAGGCAGGTGAACCTTCAACAGTTTATTCAACAGACTGGCACCAAAGTAACAGTTCTACCAGCAGACCCTGGTGAGGAGGAAGCTAACACAGGTACAAACACAGACATACTTTGTTTTGTTCTTCATTTAACCTAATGTAACCAACCAATAACATATGTTTCTAAACTCTTAAACACAATGTGTCAATTTTAAAGTGTACTTTACAGGTAAAGTCACTCTTTGTTTTATCTATGTAGAGTCAGAAAATCAGTCTGGATCTCTGAAGCGGCTTGGATCAGCTCGACAACTTCCCGCTGACCTACGAGCTCTGCAGAGCTCGCTGAACACGCCCTTTAACCCAGAAGGCATCTATGTCTGATTTTGCACCCGGCATCAACATTTAAACAAAATCTGCACTTCCTCTATGACTCCATATCACTCTTGAGACCATGAAGATTTCCTTTGGAGAGATCATACTCCCTGGAATTATAGTAGTGTATGTTGTTTGCTTTACAGATTCATCAACAAGCAGTGAGTGTTTTTACGGTGATGATTGCTTCCTCTTGATGGCTGTTTGACTAATCCAACCCAATCAGTGCTTTCTCCAAATCCTACAAAGACATCTCCAGCTGAATGTATGCTCACTTTCACTGGACCCAAAGCGCAGTAAGGCTTTGAATATGTCTTGAACATGGCAACTACTGAACTCGTACAGAAAAACAGACAGAATACATGCTGCCTCAGCCTATGTTCAATCTATCGACCTTCTGGTGCAAGTTAGAAAATGCAGCATCATGATGTCTTTCATTTCTAGAATGTTTCTGAATCTCCAGGTAAACCTCATACTCAATGCGATTATGCAAGCAGCAGGAATTTTAGGGAGATGCAAAGAGATCGTTGAGGATGATAAATTATGCAGTTTATATTTTATGGCTCATAGTCGTGATGAAAGCTCAAAGAAAAGGGGTGGTGCATGTTTCGCCTTAGTTTGCACTTTATTGGCCAAAACATCTGCTGTGGAATTTTACTGAAATCTTAAAAGCTGAAGAATCATTTCCTGCGTTTGATCGCACTAATCAGGAAAACAGGTGCATGCAATATTTTAAAACGGTGTGAGAGTGCGTAAGAGAGGTGTTTTTGCATGAAAGCAGCTTGTGGCAAGTGAAATTTGTTACCTTTTAAAATGAAGCAAAAAGAAACCTGGTTTTGTGATGAACAGCTACATTTTAAATAGAATCCTTTTAAATTATGCAAGTACATTGTAGTTACTCATAAGTCGCAATGAGTGGCTTATCAATAAGCTTTCAAGTGAACCTTTTTGGCCAATAAATGCATTTTATTTCTGACACTGAATAGTTTTATTTTTTTATTTAGCTGATCTCACTAAAATCCTTATATGGAGTTGTCTTTTTTTCCACATACTAGCAAATATCACACCAGCTGCATATATTTTAAGCAAATCTTAAGTGTTTTTACTAGTTTTTAGAACTTTATTTCTTATCAAACCAAAGTGTTCTGGAAGTCATGAATATCTGCATGAATGTAAAGGTTTGTAATTGTGCGTATGTGCAAAAGGAAGCAGCTCCAAAATATTATGTTTATGACATTTTCTTTTTAACTGTAGTAGCACCTGCTTCCCTTAAAGCTACATTCACACAGATGCAGAATGACATTTTATTTTTACATTTAATATGGACATAAGCAAGGAGCTCTTGGAAGCGTCTGTAAGGAAGTGCTCATTTAGATTTGCTGTAGTAGCTTCTGGACTTGTTTTGATATTTTGTAAACGAATTAAGCTTACAGATTTTTTTTCTTCTCCAGAAAACACTATTTTGCCAAAATCCAAAATTTTAATTTTGATGTTCATGGATGATTGAATCATTTAAACAAAAAACAGAAGGAAGCAGCTCCAAAATATTATGTTTATGACATTTTCTTTTTAACTGTAGTAGCACCTGCTTCCCTTAAAGCTACATTCACACAGATGCAGAATGACATTTTATTTTTACATTTAATATGGACATAAGCAAGGAGCTCTTGGAAGCGTCTGTAAGGAAGTGCTCATTTAGATTTGCTGTAGTAGCTTCTGGACTTGTTTTGATATTTTGTAAACGAATTAAGCTTACAGATTTTTTTTCTTCTCCAGAAAACACTATTTTGCCAAAATCAAAAATTTTAATTTTGATGTTCATGGATGATTGAATCATTTAAACAAAAAACAGGTTTGGTTTAAAGCTTTGCTTACAGTATCTATACATTAAAACCAAAAACCATCTGCTTCTACATTTATGGAGTATTTTATTTTTGGAGTAGTATTGTGTTTATTTCACATAGAACTGTTGCTCAGATGATCTGCAAAAGAGCATTCGGCTGACTTGAAGAACAAAAACATCTCTGTGTGACGAGGGGAACGTTTCAGAAGCATGCCTTACTAAAAGAAAAAAAGTGTAAATAGCATAGAGCAACATATCAATAAGTAGCAAAGAGGACTATTTTTAACATAGATGAAAAAAATGCACACCGCTCTCTAAACAGCTAAAATAAACTAAATGTGTTTATTTTTTAGCATTGTTAGGATGCATGCACTGACGTTCAGTTTTAAGCTTGTGTGAGAGGCCTGAGGATCCACCTATGGCACTTAATACAGGTGTAAACTCAACTGGGCTGTATTAAGGTGTAACATGGACTGCGCTAAATGCCTGTATAAATATCTGTGCAGTTGTAACAGGCTTGAAGTTTGGGACTGATGTGTGTGCATTAGAAATTAACAGTTTGTATTCTATCGCCTGCTGCTATGCACACAGGTGAGACTAAAACATTAAGCTCAGTTGAAAGTTAAGATCAGACGTCACAAGTTTTAACCTTTAATGCAGTACCAAAATCCCTTTGGCCAACAGACTTCTATTTAGCTCTATTTTTAACAAATTGTGTTAAACTACTTCCTTCTTGAGAAGTGTCAGATGCCTGGAAAACACATTGAAAAGATTTATGTTGACATGTTTATCGAGCAGCAAAAACTATGCCATCAGTGGAAAAGGCTCATTAACACTGTAAAAAATGAAATAAATTTGGAATAGAGCATCGCTGTTTACTGTCTTTTTTTTTTTTTGCAGTCAGCAACCTAGAACTCCTTTATGTTTATGTGTGTTTAGCTTATTACACAACTGGTCAATTGTGTTATTCTGTGTTCAGATATTTTTCAGTAGTTCAGATTTAGAGATTCATTCAGACTGGCAACAGTTACAAAAAGTAACCACAAAGCTGGTCCTAAAAATATCAGAACAATCCCCGTCTCAGCTTAATGAGGGTGTCCAGCTGGTTAAAGACCTGACTAAGTTCAAACACCTTGATTTCCCTAATGGCTTCTTTCTAACAGAAGTCTGAGCTGCAACCTAGTTTTCCCAGGAGGTCTCCCATCTAGGTACTGACCAGGCTCAACCCTGCTTAGCTTCAGTGGGCAACCAGTCTTGGGCTGCAGGGTGATATGGCTGTGGCCCACATGTCTATGGCCCTGTCTCAAATGTCACCCTAAGCCCTTGTGGTCTTCCTCAAAAATCCTCCAGATTTTGTGACATAATACTGCTGGGTAGAATGTTAGTGTGGGCCCAGATAAAGACAAGGGGCTGCTGATGAGCACCTTTCTGAAACCTAAAAAGACAAATGAGACGCTCTATGATTGGGTGGACTTAACAGACACATGCTCATGTGGGCCATTGTGAGTCCACAAGACCGCAAGTGCACATGAAGTAAGCCATTTGGTACAGGGCTACCCCTTTGTCATTTTATGCTACCAAAGGGTGCTCAAAAGTGCCTTTTTGTGGCCACAATGAACGTTTGGCATTACATCACCAAAACGTGGACTTGGATGAGGACCACAGGGACTGAGGGTGCCATTTGTGACAAGGCATATCGTAATGAACAAAAGTTACCATCCCCTGATATTTCCAGATGTAAGTGGTGATGCTTTCTGCATTTACATTGGCACATTTACATTGGCACACAAACATGAACATTAACACGGTTTACAATTTCTTTATTCTGTTTCAGAATATTTCAGACTCTGTACAAACTAAAGCATATAAAAAATGTGTCCTTATAAAACATCGCCTTGCTCGTCTTGGTCTGGCACAAAACCAGCATCCTGGCGAAAACATCATTTGATATCATGCCAAAGGTCACATCACATCCTCTCAACAAATCAATGATCCTGCAGAGATTAGAAGAGGCCTGTTCCACACATCATCTGGTGGCTTTTCCATTCTCATGAACATCCATCCTAATGAAGAAAACACAGTGAGTAAACAAAAAAATGACCTATCACAGGGCACACAATGAGACAAACGATGAGGTCAACACACCCATTTTCTTCTTTCAGATGTTGGTAAAGCTCAGCCTTGTTATTCACTGAACTCAATCTTCCTGCAAACTCCTGATGCTTTCTGGAGTTGGCTTGAGTGATTCTATTGGTCCAAAGGGTGAGTAGAGACACAGGACCTGTAAAAGAAGAGACCGTATTTGACAGCCGTTTCTACATGTTATTGGCTGCTGTACCTAATAATGTCACATTCTGACTTGCCTGTTTACTCACTTGGGATGACGACCTTTCTGACTCGGCTTGTAGCAGCTAATCCTGACCATAAAATGATGCCGTGCTGTACAAGTAACTCGACTGTGCTTACGTAGCTGGTGCTTCTTTTACTAGTTTTCTCGTTAATGGGTGTCAGTGTTAAAAACATCATGAAGGTCCACACATAGGTACCTCAAGGTGTCAGTATCACATCACACAAACACATTTATCACCGTTGTAAACTGGACCTGGAGCAGCTGCTGCATTTAAGCATTTATGTGTGTGTATTCTATTAGCAGAACATGTTGGTAATCACACACTGTATCTTGTAAAGCTAGGTTTAGGCTTTTAGACTGATTTTCAAATAAAACATAAATGTGAACCTTTAGATTTTTCTGGAGGCTGTTGTTCCTCTGTAGCTAATCGTGGTTTCTTGTTCAGGGGCTCAGGAGAATCCGGTGAATCTTTGATGATCTCACATTCACTCTGTTCGTCCTTCTCTCGCTCCATTACTCCCTTCAGCCTGGAGGAGAAAAAGGACACATACATTAGAAACAGATCAGGAAATCCATGGTCATTAATCTACAAGCTGCGACTTGACAGTACAGTAAATGTAAACTTCAGCATCTTGTTCACTAACACTAACCTCTCAGAGTCTGCGGTCCAGCCCTTCTCCTCGGTGTCTTTGCCATTTTTCTCGGTTTTGTCCTCTTTGTCCTCTCTCTTTCTTCCCCTTTTTTTCCTTTCCTCCTCCTCGGGTGGTTTGCTCCGGCAAGCGCTGATGCAGTCCAGCACACGCTGGTGCCGCTCACTGGTGCCCACATGAGCCTTTACCAATGTCTCCAACTCATTCCACATGATTCGATACTGCTCATCACTATTTAGATAAAAACATCAGCATCAACATACACAGCAAGCATGTATTCCCAAATAAAACGAAGAAGGTTTATGCACACACACACACAATTGTCATTTCCAAATCAAATGAGCTTCCTATGTAGGCAGCATTGCTAGCTTAGCAATTTGCTAACTAATGATATCTCCATTTCAGTTAACGTGCTGTAGGCAGCTGACTATGTGAGCAGCAGATAGCGAGGCCGCTCAGTAGATTTTGGACCAAAGCCACACAGCAAGACAAACTGAAACCTTTAGATTGAAACTTGATGTGATATTCTCACCGTTTGGGCCCTTTTCCTCTGGAGCCTACAGTTGAGATGGGCAGAGGGTCACTCTTCCTCTCCATATCAACAAGATTATAGACGGTTTTCTGACAGGTCAGCACATCTTCATCTGTTAGAGTGTCCTTCACTATGAGGTTAGCTAACGGTACCACCTGAAATATACACACAAAAATTACCACAATAAGTGGTACTCAACCTTTTTTGCCTTGAAGGCCCCTATATACTATCATATTAACAGAACTATGTATTTGTTAACCACAATTAATTTTGTGAAACAATTCGTCATTAGGGGGGGTATGATTTCAGTATATCTTGATCTAGTTTAAGTTAGATCATTAAAATGAATATAAAAATTATTATTATTATGATTTATATAATTAATATAATAGAATATAGTAAGCCATCTTGCGTCCTCCTTGAAAGTTTGTGGAGGCCCATAGTGGTTAAGAACCATAGATTAAGATTGCGTCCCTCACCGCCTGCATGTTAAAGATGGTAGTCTGGGAGATGATCATTGGCCAGTATCGTGTGTGCCGTTCGAGTTGAGATTTGGCTCTCTCGACTGGAGTTCTGCATGCTGCATCTACCATTGATTCTGGGAATGGAGTCAGACGATTCTCACGCATAAACTCACCAAAGTCCTGCAGACAAATAATAACAAGATTTACTCTGCAGCCACAAAGAAAATATAAATGTATCCCTATACAATGCTGCATTTATGTGGTTGCATTTGCTGTAATTACGAGGTGACAATTTTCTACTAAGGTATCAACGTCCTCAAATTTGTTGGCAACATGCATAGCTGCAAATTGGATCCATTTGTAGCTTTGCTGTAGTGAACGGTGAAATGCTTCACCACTACTAATGTACCTCTATAACCATGTTTAACAGTTTAAGCTCCTGCCATTTTGCTTGTTAGTTTATAAAGCAAGTTGCAATTACACATTTGTAGGATGGAACCTCGTAATTATGGTAATCACGACAAGTCTAGGTCAAGCAGTGCTTGTTGAGCTTACGGTGATGCGGTAATCAGTCACTCGTCCACCGCAGCCCTCGCTGATGGAGGGTGGATCCTCCAGTGTGGAGCGTGTGCTGTTCAGAACATGCAGAAAGATTTCTCCTCCATGGCTGCTCAACATGTGA